CTGTCTTTTCTTCTCATTCTCTTAACATTGTCTTTCACAGAGCAGAAGTTTTTAATTTTAATGAAGTCCAGCTTATCAATTATTTCTTTCATGGATCATGTCTTTGGTGTTGTATCTAAAATGGCATCCCCATACCCAAGGTCATCTAGGTTTTCTCCTAAGTTATCTTCTAGGAGTTTTATAGTGTTGCATTTTACATTTAGGTATATGATCCACTTTGAGTTAATTTTTGTGAACAATGTAAAATCTGTGTCTAGATTCTCTTTTTTTTTTGCATGTGTATGTCTAGTTGTTCCAGCACCATTTGTTGAAAAGACTATCTTTGCTCCACTGTATTGCCTTTACTCCTTGGTCAAAGGTAAGCTGACCTTATTTATGTGAGTCTATTTCTGGGCTCTCTATTCTGTTCCCCCAATCTGTCTATTCTTTTGCCAATACCACACTGTCTTGACTACTGTGAGCTTTATAGTAAGTCTTGAAGTTGGGTAGTGTCAGTCCTCCACTTTGTTCTTCTCCTTCAAGATTGTGTTGGTTATTCTGGGTGTTTTGCCTCTCGGTATAAATTTCAGAATCAGTTTGTCAATATCCATAAAATAACTGGCTGGGATTTTGATTGGGATTGCATTAAATCTCTACATCAATTTGGGAAGAATTGACATCTTGACAACATTGAGTTTTCCTATCTATAAACATGGAATATCTCTCCATTTATTTGGTTCTTCTTTGATTTCGTTCATCAGAGTTTTGTAGTTTTCCTCATATAGATCTTGTATATATTTTTTTAGATTTATACCTGAGTATTTCATTTTTTGGGGTACTAATGTAAACTGTATTGTGTTTTTAATTTCCAATTCCACTTGTTCATTGTTGTTATTTAGGAGCTGATTTCATTTTGATAGCAAGGTCAAATGGCTTTACTGAAGATGTGTAGGCTGAAGTGAGATTTGAAGGACAAGTAGAACAAGCGGCCTTGTGAAGGAAGGGAACATGGTGAGTATAGAAGAATGAATGAATGCTAGAGTGCAGAGAAAGGGAATTTATAGAGTGATGTGGCTATAGAGGCAGGTGGAGGGAACTAGATGCCTTAAGATGTTTTGTTTTTATATTATATGATCAGACTTCTATTTTGAAAGGATTAAGATGGCTCTTGAACAGACAATGTACTGCAAGAGAACCAAAGATGAGAGCTAAATGCCCTATAATGGATTAGAGAGCTATTAAGAAGTAAACTCCATGGATCTTAATAGCTCCTAAGAAGTAAACTCCATAGTCCATCCATAATGGACTGGATAGGGAGAATGAAGCTTAAGAGAGGAATTGAGTGTAGCGAGGTTCCCTGGCTTAGGTAACTAAGTCTACAGATGGAACTATCATTTACTGAGATACAAAAACCAGAGGAAGTGCAGTCGGGAACATTTTGAGTTTGAGGTCCCACTGAGACTTTCAAGAAACAGGTAGAGTAAGTATCTGAATTTATGATTCTGGAGGTCAGAGAAGCCATGTGGACAATAAATATGTCAGTCATTGGTATATAAATGGTAACTAAGGTCCTAGGAGTGGATGAAGACAAGAATATGGAATAAAAAGAGAAAAGTGGTCTTAAGGACTCCAAGATTTAATGGCAGAAAGGGGAAAAAAGAGCCTTATTTTCATTTACACCCTTTAGCCACTGAATCACCCCTCTGTTCAAATAGTGATCCCTCTCCTGTGCTCCGGACTCCATTCCTTCTACCTCATTCAGGTCGTTTTCTTTACCAACGGTCCAAAATTGTCCTCCCGTATTTCCCAAGTCTAGAATTCTTACTGCCTGTCTAACAACAAAACTCCTCCCTTAAAACCTTTGCCATCTCCCTCCACCTCTCTTCACTGCAAAGCTTTCTAAAATGTAAAATGGTCTACTTCTATGGAATATTCAACTTCACTTGCCATTCAACTCTAAATACAATTATTAGACTTTTCAGTTTACTACTCTATCAAATCTGCCTTAACCAAGCCAAAAATAAACCATTATTACTAAATCAAATAAACACTTTCCAATCCTTATTTTACTTTCTGTTCCTCTGCCCAGCTTTTAAATGTTTGTGTTCCCCAAAGTTTATTCTTGGTTCTTTTTTCTTCTCATTCTAAAGCATACATTTCCTTGGTAGGTTTATCCAGACTTTTCGGTAAACTCTCATCATGTGCTAATTAATTTCAAATCTACATGTTTCATCTAAGATCCCTCTCTCACATAGCCTACTGTGTACTGGATGTCTCCACTCGGATTCTCCACGGGAACCTCCAATTAAACACATTCAAAACAGATTAAAAACTCATTTTATGATCTCCCATTCCCTAAAACAACCAACACCACAACTTCAAAATTCTTGCTGTCCCTCCTTTATTCTTTGTCCTCTGCCATCCACAAAGCTGCTCAAGGCAGAAACCTGTTAGTTATTTTTGATTCCTCCTGTCAACCTTCCCTCGTCATATCCATTCTACCCCTTATAGTAATCTCTTGATTCATTCCATTCTCTTTGTCCCAATCACACTTTTAGCCAATCCATTTTCTTCTAGCATACTTTTAGCCAAAACATAACAATCAAATATAATCATTATGTCATTCCTTTACTTAAATTTTTTCAGCCATTTCCCATTTCCCATTATCGTTAAGGAAAAAAAATTCACAACCTTAAAAAAATCAATTAGACCTTTGTCTAACTTCTCCAGTCTCCTCCTCTCTTAGCACTCTGTATAAATTATGAGAACTACTTGCACAGAAGCAATGAGAGATTTACTGAAGAAGCAGGCTTCCTATTCTCTGTAATGTCTTCCATTCTCTATAATGCCTTTATCTTCTACACATCCTTGAAAACTCAGGTTAAGCTTCCTCCTCAGGGGAAACATTCCAAGGCTCCTCTCTCTCAGTTCAAGTTAGGTATCCTGCATTTGTCCTCCACTGCACATCGTATACTTTATTATCCTATTTATCCACCTATCTCCCTCAACTGTGAACTCAAGGAGGGCAGAGACTAAATATTCTTTCTCCTGCAACCTGAGCACTTAGCACACTCTCTGGGATTTAGTATGTGCTCAATAAGTAACTGTTGTTAATTATTAAATAATTGTTATTAATCATTATTAACACTACACCTACACGTATACCCTTTTAAATCTTCCTTTCCACAAATACTTCATTTATTCCAATGTTTTATATTCAATTGCACATATTGATAAATTCAAGTATTTGGTATTTTTTGCTTTGAGAGCAAAGGTTTTGTTTGTAAAAAAATCAGGACAGATTAAATTAATCTACTTTATGATAATGTTATACGAAAGATATATATCATGCTTCTCAAATTGTGGTTAAAGTTGAAAAACAATTCATTTCCAGTAATAAGGCAAAGCCTCATGCCATCACCTTTAGAGAACTACAGCATGAAGCAGAGCAGAAAACAAGGAAATATATAGTAAAGAAACCTATACAAGTTCAATATTTGTAGTATTTCCAAGTTTTCAGAGGAGTACAAATATCCAAGAAGTTTCTATGTGATATCAGACTGTTTTGTTACTTTTTGTTTTGGTCTTCCTAGCACTTATTTACCACAAGACAAAATTAGCACATATTGTTCAATGTGTTCATTTTAAGCGCTATGTTGTTTTCTATATGTTAATCTTATCTCCCCCAAATGAGAACGTTTTACTTCTATACGCCTAAAATTATGAGACTACGTCTAAACAGACAATAAGCATTCAACAATTATTTATTGAATGATTTAGATTACAGATTTGTACTGGAGAAAAATTTGAAATGACAGGATCTAAACCTTCCTTGATCAAGCTTTCTAGTTGATATACTGTTAAACAGCAAGGCAGGTTTTTTTTTTTTCCCCTGAACATTTTTCTTTAAAAAACAAACAAACAAAACCCAAAAGACTTCCCAAAATGAAAAACTCCAGTTACTATTCAGCAATACTAATTTCAATTTATCAAATAGAATCAGCCAAAAAGTTTCAACAGGTCATTGAGATTTCAAACAACTGAATGGCAAGAACCTCAATGAGGTTTGGATGTGTTTTAAAAGAATCATAGATCTCCATGATCTATGATAATAATAATATCATAAAACATTATCATAAAATAATATCATAAAATAATAAAAAAACAAATAATAACTCGGCAGCGCAGGCATGATTTGGGAGTTTTTAGTTTAGACATCTGTCAATCATGAATGCCTTTAAAAATCACTTACTCCCCCCAACCCCTGCCACCCAGCTCAGTTTTGCGATTTTTAAGTCCAAAGACCCAGCTCTAAAGCACATGTTTTTTCCCCCGCACATGAAATTCCTATTCTAATAAGGAAACTACCAATACAGAGTCCAGAAATCACCAGAAAAGCAAGTACCTACACATCTCATTCTTATCCGTTTTTTTGGGAAAGAAACCTAAAGTATTTTCTGTTACTTGCAGCTGCCTTAACAGCAAGCGACAACTAAATGTGGGAACAAGGCTGTCAGAGTCACACTTGTCACTCACACCACGGATGGAAAGGCGCTCCACGCTTTCCAGGAGCACTAATTAAAATTCACGAAAGCTTCGCTCGGGGTCTTGTCAGAGAAGTACACTTTGTCACCTGCCGTTTGAGGCCGAGGAAACCAGCTCGCCTCCAAGCTCAGGAGTTTCCCCCCTAAGGTCCAACTCCAGCCCACCCGCCACAGGCACGTGCGAGCCGAGCGCGCACGCCCGGCAAGCCGCTCACTCAGGGAAGAGCGCCGACTCCTCCCGATGACACGACCACCAGAAGCACCTCGCGGGGAGGGCGGAGCGACCTGACCCCCAGAAACCGGCAGGGAAGGGCGGACGTGGGAGAGAGCCGCCAGGTCCTACCGGTAGGTGCCCGACATGCCGCTCCTCCAGCCTTGCCTCCACCTCAGCGCGCTTGCGGGCACGCCATCGGGCCCCAGCCCGCGGCACCGACAACCCAGAAGACTGCGGCCTGGGACTCAGGTGGACATCCTCACCTGGGCCCCGCAGCGTCCGCCGGCATTACGTAAGCGCACGTTTCAGCAATACGCCTTGCGATTGGTTGACTCGAGGGAAGCCTCAGTCCTATTGGCTACGAGAGCCGCGGCGGGGCAAGAAGGTGGGAGTTCGGGAGGCCGACGGGCCGCTGCTGCAGTTCTGAGAGTTCCCATTGGCCAACGCGGAAGCGCCAAGATGGCGGCGGCGGCGGCGGCGGCGGCGGCGGCGACGGCGACTTGTAGCCCTGGCGCCGGGGGTCTTGGGTCTGCGGTGGCGGCGGCCGGCAAGCATAGCGTCACCAGTTTCCAGAGGAGGGGTCCGAGAGCCAGCGGCTCCGACGGCGGCGGCTCTCGGCTGGTGTCCATCGCGGGCACGCGACCGTCGGTGCGGAATGGACAGCTGCTGGTATCCACCGGGCTCCCAGCCCTGGACCAGCTCCTAGGTCGGTTCAGAACGGAGATCTGGGTTCAGCAGAGGGAACTCTGGGGAGGGGCCTTCCGGGGAGCCCCTGACCGCACACCTCCCTCTGACGCCTCGGCCTCCGGACGTGGAGAGGATGCCGGTCTGGCCGGGATGGAGGGAGGACCGGTCGCGTGGGGACTTCTAGTGCCGTTAACTCGCCTGTCCTTGGGTCCCCCGTCTACTCTGCCTCCTGCCCGCCAGCCTTTTTCCAGAGTTCTAGATTACGGCGGGGTCCCTACGTGCTTTGACCTCACGTGCTCCCTAGTCAAGGGGAACCGTTAATGTGTGCGGACGGTCTGGCTCTGTCCAGGATCCTTTCCCGGTCTCTGAGTGCGCCCTTCTGCCAGCCCCAGGTAGCTGGCGGTTTGGGCTAACCTATAAAGGTTTGTATCATTGTGAGAGATGGGCTTCATTAGAAAATGCTGAGGAAAGTGACTTCCCCTCTTTCTTATGTCCTGGTTCTGAATCGTGAAACAAACGATATTGGCTTTTAAGAGGATGAATGTTAAAGGCTTATGTGGATCCAAAGTAGTTAAAGCCTGTCGTCGATGTTGACAGTCATCCTCGTATCTGCGCCAAGTTTCTATTAAATTTTTTCTATATATGTTTGCCTTCCCAGAATTACATTCCCACCTATATGTTTAAAGTTAATTCACATTTTAACGAGAAAAAGAAGTGCAGTTCTTAGGCTTTCCTGTATAATCTCTGGAATGTTTCATGAGAAGCGTGCTGAAGAATATGCTTGTTTCATAACAGTTATGTTGAAAGAACTGCGCAGATTGGATTGGTAAAACAGATCTGCTGTGTTAATAAAGCTTGTAAGTTAGTTAATTTCTATCAGAATGCTGCTTCATTAAAATTGGTCTGTTTGTATTTCATAACTTTCTTATAGCATGTGATGTGTCAGTTAAATATTGTGCACTTTCATAGAATGTTATAAATGCCGTTGCTTATTCTTGTACTTCACTTGACGTTTTTCTCTCTGTAATTTTTTCCCACGAGGTAGGGTTTTCCGATAGGTTTGATGCAAAGGAAAATGACAAGGCAAGCAACCTATGAGAAAGAATATGGCTTCTTGCCTCTGTTATTTCCTGTCTTTAACTGGATCCTGGTTATTTCTATGTAAATTTAAGTGTTTTAGCTTGTTTCAAGTCTTTTGCTTTCCTAAATTGCATGGTACTATAAACAGAAATGATTCAAAATATCTAGTTAGCAAATATTTATCTCACTTTTTTTTTCCCTTGTGAGCCTTACTTGATGTTGTCCTATATTTGAACTTAAAGCTTGGAAGCTTTTCCTAGTCCTTACCTTATGGAACTTCACTTGATTCTGAAACTCTCCAAACAAAAAGGTCACGTTTCTGACATTATACCTTCACTTCCTCATTAGAATTACAGAATGTGCCTAGCACACTTCCTGGCACTTAGATTCTCAGTAAGTTCTTGATTGAAAGGAAAATAATGTGTAGGAAAAAATCTGGACAAGAGAACATAAAACATGTACGATGGAGTTATGTGTTTGAGCTCTAAAAACAGACTCAAATTAGGTGACGTGAACAGAATCACAAAACTAGTGACAGTCTGGGCTGATCTTTAGGCTCCAAGTTTAGTGCTCTGTACTATGCTACAGCTGTTTCAAATTTTTGCAGACTCTTTTCAGGTGCTTTTAGCCATTTATTGAACCTGAGACTAATGATTTAACTATAGTCTCTGAAAACACCCAAAAAGATAACCGAAAGTACTTTCCTCATGTGTTTCTACAGTGATATAAACTTGAACTGTAATATGAAAATTTCTCAGAATTGCTTGGGGATGGGGACTCTAGTAAATGACTGTAACAAGCTTATGCTAAAAAATAGTGTTCATTAAGATGATTGAAATAAGTATCAGTTTTTGGATATTTTGAAATATATTTTGCATGTATACAGTTAATTCTTAAAGTGCACAGAAGTTCAAGTTGTTATAATAGGAGCTACTACATTTGGAATAATAAATGTGTCCAAAATTATTTTAGTTGTTGTTAACTTCTTAATGGCATTTTTGTATTTTGGTTTTCTATTTTGTATGGCCTCGTGGAGCAAACCCTTTACATTTGTTTTTCATTAAAACAGTTGAAAGTGAAACGTGGCTGCTGATGTGTATACACTTAAGTATAAGCAATTCCGATTATATTGTTACTCTAAAATGTTATTTGATTCAGATTGTGACAAGCCTAATATGACCACACTGTGACAAAATGTAATGATAGTAGGATGTTATGATATCAGAATGATGAAACTATACCATGACCCTGTGATTGTTGCCTGAATATATTCTGTGGTTACTGTGTAAGAATTAAATATTATATTGTCACTGCCAAGAAGTTTGGTGATATTTTAGTACTGTGACTGTGACATTGTAGTTTTAAGCACAGATGCAGAATATATTTGGAAGGCATCATACCGGCTAATTGAATGTTAGTCGTTTGATGATGTGCTAATATTTCCATTGCTTACTCCAAAGTGTTTTTATAACTTTGAGAATTCCTTATATCTGCATCTTTTAAATATGATCTTATCGTATTAAATATTTTTGTTCTGACAACTTAATTTTATCATTAGATAATGATATACATTTCCCCAAGTTGGCAACATTTAAATTTTTCAGGTTCTGAGATTTCCTAACCCATATTCTCAACCCTCCCTTTCCAGGCCATTTATGTTGTTATTGTGGACAGTATGTTCCATTTTTCTTTTTCCAGGAATTTCCAAAGACAGATTGTAGTAGGTAAAGTGTTCTGGCAGGATTTTTTTTTTTTTCTAGGATGTAAGGTATAGTCCATCTTAGGACCGTATTGTCTAACCTGGGGGAATTATCCCCCAGCCTCATCCTTCAACAAGATACTTGAAGGAAGGGTGACTACTCAGGTTTGACTGGCTTAACCTCTGTGGTGTTCAGAACTTATTAAATTTTGGCAGTCAAGTGAATGGAAGATAGGGATTTGGGGTAAATAATAGTCCGAGAAGAGTACTCTGAAGAAGCTTGGTGGTAGCTGCCATTTAAACACTGATGTCAAAAAGTAAATATTGGCAGGCTTGTTTCCTTGGCTCCACTACATCTTAATCTGGAGTGTGGGATGATGTACGCTTGGACTATATAGCAAAATCCTGGTTATGATATTTTAGCAACTGATAGCTGTACATTTAAGGTAAATGAAAAAAAAGTAAATGTTGCTTATTCCTGTGTATTGCTATGTAAAATTGTTTCATGTGATTTAATCTACAGAACCATTCTCACTGTCATAGCGTCTTCTGTTTTGATTCTCATATCTGCCCAGCCACTATTGTGATAATCAGGAGTTGTCAGGATGTTTCATACCTCCTAGTGAGAGAAGAAAGAAATAGACTTATTAATGAAATAACTGCAATTTAATTTGAGGTGTGATGTTAATTAAGTAGTTGAGGATATTGCTGTGAACCAAGGAAAGGATATGAACTTGCTCTTTACATTGTGTTTTCCCTAAAATGCCTTTCTGTAATCTTAAGCAAAACTATTCCTTTACAGAGAGTACTGGAAAGGACTGGTATAAATCACTGTAATCTTCCTGACTTTTCTTTTCCCTTTTGCTTTTTCTAACTTTGAAAAAGGAGATGCCCTTGTTGTAAAATAAGGTATCACTTCTGGGCCTTCATATTCTTCTTTTTTTTTTTTAAGATTTTATTTATTTATTTTTTCCCCCCAAAGCCCCAGTAGATAGATGTATGTCATAGCTGCACATCCTTCCAGTTGCTGTATGTGGGACGCGGCCCCAGCATGGCCAGAGAAGCGGTGCGCGCCCAGGATCCGAACCCGGGCTGCCAGCAGCGGAGCACGTGCACTTAACCGCTAAGCCACGGGGCCGGCCCTGGGCCTTCATATTCTAATATATTAATTTGACCTCCTTTTCCCAAAATTGATAGCTTAATTAGAGATTTGTTCTGGGACGTGTGTGGGGATTGAATTTTCTCCCTTTAAAATAATATTGATATCATTTTCTAACTATTCACAGGAATGTAAAAAACAGCAAAACTCCTTCATATTTTAAAAATCAAAATAGGAAGATACTGGTGCTTAATCACAAGATATTAAATTTTCTGATAATGTATTTTAAAGTATTAGATTTTTTTCTAGTTTTAACACAAAATGCTGTATCATTTTTTAAAAATGTAAAATCTTGATGAAATTAATACATTAAAATATCAAACTTAGAAAATATCTTCAAGTTTTCAACTCATGTAGTCTTACATGTTGATAAAATAGTCTACCTGTGTTTTTAGTACGCTGGAGATAAACTTAAATATACTTCTTACACAGGTCTAGAAGTAAAACCAAGAATTTATTTGCTTAGTGACTTAGAAAGTGTATTGATGATTTCTCTAAGATATGAGTAACGGGGAGAGGAGGCAGTACCATTCTACTCATTTATACGTTTCATCGTGGAAGTAAGATGGTTGCTTACTCACCCCATTCCTTACCCGTGAAACATTTAGTGGACTCTTGGGAAAAGATACTTCCATTTTAGTTGGGAGCTACTACTGTGAAATCTGGGTTGCTTTTGAAATTAGATAAAATTACTAATGAGATTACTGAATTTAAAGATAAAAGCTAGCTTTAGCTTTCGTTGAATATATCATATCAACCTGTCATGCTTGGGTGTTTTAAGCTTTTCATTTTTTGATTGGGGCATGGCTACAAACTTATTCAAACTTACTCTAGTTTAAAATACAGCTAGAACCTCAGTATATCAAGTGAGGTATATCAAAATACTGTATACAGAGATATTTTGGAGAAATATTGTGAGGTCTTGTCACTAAAATTAAGTTTGGAAGTATAGAGAAGCTTTGCTGCTGTATGTTGTGTGTATATGTATGTGTCAAATCATTTTACTTCATAGAGTAAAAGCTTGGTTTAAAAATAGTTAACAAGGTGGTTTCATCTTCTTCTCTATGACCAAGCTTCAAAATGACCAACATTTAGTAGAGCCAATCTAGATTTGAGTCTAGTGAACTTACGTAATAGAGCCCATTAGAAAAAAAGAAAGACTTTTTTTTTTGTAAGAGAAGTCCTGATAGGATATTAATTTGACTGATAAAAGTCATAAAAATTTCCCCACTTTATGTTGTTTTAAATAATGTTCAAATTTTCCAGACATTAGAATTTTAATGTACATGAGATTTAAAAAAATTGAGTGGTGTTTTCTGGATTATCAGGAACAGTGGATTGTTTGGATCATTCTTCAGAAAATTATCTTCTTAGTATGATTTACTGTTATGGTGGTCACCATTTATCAGGTCACGATATATTTTTAGTGATTTGTTCGAATCAGAAAATAATTTCTAGAATGGTGAGGGTAGCTCTTACCAAGTACCTCACTGGACCAGACACCTGAGCTAGGTGTCACTTCATTTAATTGGGAAGTTATTCCTTGATCTGTTATTGTTCCACTGTGAACAACATTCACAAAAGACCTTAATTGTCTGTCTAACTATTCCAGTTGGAGGCCTTATATAAATTCCTAAGTTGAGGAGATGTGAATGTAGACCCAGGGGAGTTTAGATAAGAAGCCTAAATCCTTCCTATGAGAAATAGGTTAAAGAAGAAAAGGCAACTAATTTTTTATGGTACCTGCTCTAGACTAGACACTGCAGTATCTGTTATGTGCTTGTGTTATGTCATCTCCTTAAATATACACAAGATGGCGATTAGATAATTAAATGTTTTGCATGTAAGAGAAAATAGGGAAGTGAGTAGAAAAGTGATTTAAAGTGTTCAAAATGGATTAAAAAGTAAGTAGTGGTCTATGTGTAGCACAAACTGTAAAATTAAACATTTAGCCTAATCTTATCTCAAAGAAAACCTTTTTACCCTGATCGTCGTATGTATTTCAGTTTACATCAGTCTTTTAGTCTGAACAACGTTTGAAAGTATCCTATGTAGTCTGGTATGGCTTTAAATGCTGTAATGAAGGAACTTGTCTAAATGTGAAATTAAAATATATATTTAGTACTATAACAAATCCACCTAAAAATATATAAATGTGCTGGTTTCTTCTTTTATTGTTCTCTAACAATTTGGAGTGTTCTACTTATAAAGTAAAAATATTCCATTTTATTCTGTGTGCATGTGTTACCAAATTTCAAAATCTTTGAAACATAACATTTATGCTTATTTGCAAGGCAAAAAATAAACACTACCAAAGGAATCTTTCATACTAAGTTTTTCTGTATAATGTTTGCCACTACAAAACTTTTTTGGAGAAAAGCTCTTTATTGATGTTCTAAATTTCTTTCACAATTTTGTGCACCAAGAAAAACACCCAAAAACCACCCTAGTAACATTGTCTTCAATCGTCCAACAATTTTGAGTAGTTTCTTTTTTAATTAATTGTACTTTAAGTACATTTCATTTTTTGATATGCATATTAAGTGAATTTGTTAGTAATACTTTTACAAATGTTTTACAAACAAGATATCAGTAGTCAAATGTCTTATCTTTTTAATATAGTTCTAGTTTCCTAAAACTTGATTTTAAATGCATCACGATTTGAGTTATATGTTCATGATCCTATCACCCTAATTCAGATATTTAAAAGAACATTTTCTAGTAATACTGAAAATGTATTTTGTGATTGTGCCTTTTTTGTTTGCAAAGACAAAAGCATTCTTCATTTTAAACAATATTCTAAATATATTTAGAGCATGTCCAGACTTTGTGCAAATTATTCATAATGAAAAAAGATTTAGTTTTAATTATCAAGGTTTTTTCCCAAGGCTTATTAAATTGGAGGATAAATATTAAAGTGGAATTTCTATTATAATAACCTTTCTTTTCTGTGTTGTACTTCTGTAGTAGTTAAGTTACTGTGCACATTTAGGTCTCAGCTACTGAGTTAATTTATTAACATGTGCTAAATATAACATTATTGCAATGCTTAACCACAGTTATGTTGAATGCTGCAGAAAGGATAGTACAGTATATTATGAAAGTAATTGTAATGTGTAGTGTGTAATTACATATAATATGTAATTATTTCATAATAGCACCTTAAGCAAAGTATTGCAAAGGTAATTAAAATGTTGTTCTCAACTGCAATTTTAAAGTTATTGAAGTACATGTCCTTGCTAAAGCCTAACTTTTATGCTAAAGATAATGTGACGAGGTAGATTAATTTTCTCCTTGGTTTTGTTTCATTTCCAGGTGGAGGTTTGGCCGTCGGAACACTTCTCCTAATTGGTTAGTATCGCATACGTTCTTTGCTCTTCCTGATCACAGTTTTCTGTTGTGCATGATGATGTTATTTATCGGTTTGTCTATTCTGAAATTAAGTATTTACCTCTCTACAAGAGTTAAGGTAAATTAGAGAGGAACTGCCTTACGTTCTAATTTAAATTCAAATGTTGATCTGAACATGAAGTAAATTAGGCAAATATATCTGAAAATGTAGATCTTATGATTTAAAAATGTTCACAGTGCATTGTGCTCCATTTTAAAAAATACTAAAATTAATCCCAGTTGATTTTTTTGGAGACTCTCAGTATTTAAAGTGGGATTTTACGGTGATTAATTTGAGAAGTCGATGTACTAATAAGTCCATTGTATGTGTCTCAGATTCTTATCATTATTGTTTTCTTATTGAAAGAAGAGTAACAAACTGATAAATCATATATTTTTCCATGTTTAAAACTACAACAGTTTTTATTTAAATATACATTCATAACCCTGTTTGCCTTATTTTTAGTTTAGGTCATACGATCTTGGAATTGAAATAAACCTTGGCACTTACATAATCAAAGCTCCTCCCTAGGCACAAATTACTTTTCCATAATCCTTAACAGATATCAAACACCATTTGAATACAGATTATCTAGTTTAAAGGGCTCACTACTTCACAAAGCAATGCTTTGTTGTTGAAAATGCAGTGATTTATTAGACAGTTCTTTATACTAATGTTTAATCCATATACCTATAACAGATTTGCTATTCCTAGTTTTGTCCTCTGATATAATACACCATTAATCTACCTACTCTTTCACATTGACACTCTTAAGATATTTGAAAATAGCTATTTTATCACCTCAATTTTTCTCCAAACTAAATAGACATAATTTCTTAAACTGGTTTTTATGTATTGTGGTCTTCACACTCCTCCCTCTCCTGGTTGTTCTCTTGTTACACCTTCTAGTCTGGCATCGTCTCTTCACCTGTGCCCAGAACTAAATATAGTATTCCAAACTTGGTATGACTGATGCTAAAGTTCTAGAAATGGTGATGGTAGTCACATTTTTAAAAATTTATCTTTTAGTAAATAAGGAATGATAGAAGGATTTTATAGAAAAAATAATTCACAGTTTTCATATAAATAAATATATAAATACATAAAACACAAAAGGATATGTAGGGAAAGTTAGGTTGTCCTTTCAGTTTCTCAGTCCCCATACCCAGAGACAATACTGTCCTGCATATCCCACCCAAATATTTCTACATAAGTAATATACATGGGAGCATTCAGCACCTTGCTTTTTCTACTTAATACTTCTTAGAGATCAGTCCATGTACATTCATATAGATATACCTCATTCTTCTTAACAGCTGCATAGGATTTCATCATATGGATGGATCATAATTTATTTAAATCATTCTCTACTGATAAATTTAAGTTAATTCCATTTTTTCTATTACTGACAATGCTATTGTGCAAATCTCATATGTAAGCTTTGCGACATATGTAAATATCTGTACAATAAATTCCCAGATATAGACTTGCTTGATTGAGACATGTTAAATTGTGTTAAATATTATTAGATTGCTCTCCCAAGAAGTTATACCACCTCATACTTTAATCAATAGTTCGAAGAATACCACTTTACCCTCACTCTTAACAACACTGTATGTTATTAAACGCATTAACCTTTACCAGTCTAAACAGGTGAAAAGTAAAGAATGGTGTTTCATCATTTCAACCTGGGACTTTTCTCTTTGATGACCAAAATTCTGGAGTTATTATAATGGTTTAAAAAAAAATATGCAGCTGAATTTTAATTCTTTTCTCCAGGGAAGTATCTGTGAATGCTACGAAGAATCCAGTGATGATTGATAATTCATTGAATAAATGTTTATTGAACACTCTGCTATATGCTAGATATTGGGGCTACAAATATAAATGAGATGCCCTCTTCCCTTAAGGAACTTTGCATCTATAGAGAACACAGATGTAAGGCAAATAATTACAATATAATAAGTTAATATCATAATAGATGGGTTTGTTATTATATTTTATTGTTGGTTGGGGCTAGTACAAGGGACTGCTGTTGATTTTTATATTTTGATCTTATGATTGGCAACTTTTGAATAGTTTATAGATTCACTTGAATTTTCTAAGTAGGCAATCATCTTCCGCAAATATTGACAATGTTATTTCATAACAGATTTTGGTATCTTGGAAGGGAGTGCTTCCATAACAAATACCTAAGAATATGGGAGTTGCTTTGGAACCACGCAGCAGGCAAAGGCTGGAAGGATTTTAAGGAGCATATGAGGAAGCCTAAATTGCCACCAACAGATTGTTAGTAGAAATCTGTACTTTGAGGACACTGCCAATGAGGGCAAAAAGGAAGTGAGGTCCATGTTACTGAAAGCTGAAGGAAAGAGGAATCCTTGTTACGTAGTGGCAGAAAGCTGAGTGATAGTGTTGTCTGCAGTTATGTGGAAATAGAACACATGCCTAATGAACTTGGTGATCTAGCTAAGGAGATTTTTACTAGTGAGTAATAAGGAAAAACGCAAACAAGAATAACTAAAGCACAATAACAGATTTTTTTAAAAAGTCTATCCTTGGTGAAATGTCAGTTCACTTTTATTCACTTTTGAATAAAAGACTATAACAGGTATAAAGCTAAGGCTTTGCCTTTATAGTCTGATCTTGCCATAAAGCTAATACTTTGAATCTTCTCAGCATTATTTATGCCCTACTATCAACTTCTTCTAAGTGTATAAGATTTTTAAAAATATCTATAACTTAGATAAACTTAGTTTTGTCATCTACTCGCTTGTTTTCTTTAGAAAACCTTAAAGCAAAATCTGGAAGCATTTTTACATTTCTTTGAAAGATTAGATTAGCAGAGGGAGTCTCATCTACTAGGTTCTCTACTTTTCTCCATTTGCAAGTCAGTACAACTTGTACAGTGGATGAAATCTGCCTTAAGAAATGGATGAATAGTTCCAAATATAAACTAAATATGCAGATCTAAGGTCAGTTTAGGAGCCCAGAGCATTACTATATTGCTCATCACTCAAAGACTTTTTTTATTCCAGAAGTAAGAGAAAATTAAAGCATGAAGATGGTTTTCGTTAATAACTTTTCACTGTAGATTGTCAACTTTTGAACCATTTTCTCTTGAAATGGATTACTCATTTACCAAGGCAATTGTGTGTATGTGTGTGTGCATGTGGATGACTGTGGGCTTGCAGAGCAGTGTATTTACAGCTTCAGTAGCATGTAACCATGGAAACTAGAGAGAGCGAGCACTGCCAGAAAACCCAGGGTAGGCCTACTTAAGACCTTCTGAATACAACAAAATACATGAATATGAATACACAAAAGTCCATTCTCTGAGGAATAAATTGAAGAACTAAGGGACTCCTACATTTACTTTGAAAATCAAAGATAGACTTTTCTTAAAACACGTTTTATTCTTTAGTTCTGGAATAGGCTTTGAGATGTTTTATATTTAAATTGCTTTGTGACATTCTGGTACATGGGTAAGTTTGGAACACTTTAGAAGTATCAAAAGTGAAAGAATGGCATAAATATTTAGAGTTTATGCAGCTTCTTTTTAAATAAAGGATCTTGATCTGTTTACAGAGATATTGAGCATCAAAAAGGTTTAATAGACGTTGTCGGTAAATAAAATACAAGTTATGTGACGTTTATGAATGCCTTATTTTTAAATTAATCTCTGACATTGATTATATAATTTTAGGTCTAGAAGTAGGGTATAACAATTACAATTAGTTATGAGTATACTTTTGTATTAGTTACCTATTGCTGTGTCATAATATTAACACTAACTTAGCAGCTTGAAAACAACACACATTTATTATCTTACAGTTTCTGTGGGCCAGGAGTCCAAGCACAGCTTAGCTGGGTTCTCTGCAAGTTGGCGATCAGAGTGTCAGCCAGGGCTGGGTTCTCATCTGAAGGCTTGGCGGGGGAAGGATCTGCTTCCAGGTTCACATGGTTGTTGGCAGCATTCAGTTCCTTGCTGGCTGTCAGCCAGAGGCTGCCTCTGCATAGGGCAGCCCACAACATGGCATCTTGTTTCTTCAAAACCAGTAAGGGAGAATGTCTCTCAGCAAGATAGATGTTACAATCTTATGGAACAGAAGTGACATCTCATCACCTTTGCAGTATTCCTTTGGTTGGAAGCAAGTCACAGGTTCCACCCACATTTGAAGAGATTACACAAATGCATGAATACCAGGAAACAGGAATCATGGGGATCACCTTAGAATCTGCCACAGTTTTCATAATTTTAAATTGTTATTATTTTATATAATAGCAAAAACTAAGCACTCTCATTTTATCTCTCACAGGATACTATAGTATTTTCTTGTCAGTTATCTTTAACATTTTTTAATTTACTGAGCTATGTTTTTCTTCTACATCATGTAATAAGCTCTGAGCATTTTTCTTATTATGCACGAGTTGGAAAACTACAACCTGCTGGCTGGCCATCTATCTATAAATAAAGTTTTACTGGAACACAGCCAGGCTTATTTATTTGCACATTGTCTATGGCTGCATTTGTGCTACAGGGCAGAATTGAGTAGTTTCAACAGAGTCTGTATGGTTCAAAAGCCTGAAATATTTATTTTGGTATTTAAGTGTTTGCTGATCTATTCTGATAGAGAGCTACTATTTTTCTGATTTTGTCTACCTATTTTTCTCCTTTCTCGAAGCTTTGTATTCCCTTTCTCTTTTTTTTTTTTCCCAGGCCTGAGGGCCTTCTTGAGCATTTCTTGTAGTGGGGATCTTGTGGCCATGTACTCCCTTAGTTTTTGTTTATCTGGGAAAGTTACTATTTCTCCATCATATTTGAATGATATTTTTGCTAGGTAGAGTATTCTTGGCTGAAAGTTTTTGTCTTTCAGAATTTTGTATATATCATTCCAGTCTCTCCCCAGCCTGTAAAGTTTCTGTTGATAAATCCACTGAGATCCTGATGGGAATTCCT